ACTACATATGAGTAGCTTCAAGTTGTTGGAATCACGTGGTGGCCTCACCAACAATCAAAGCGACATAACCGTGAGAGTTTAGGTGGCAGAGGCGAAGCAAAGGCACGTGATACGGCGGCGAGAGTGGTCATGGAGATGGAGCACGGGAGGCCTTCCGCTTCTCTTTGTTTGTTTGCCACGTGTTGACCCTCTCTACTTTTTTTTCGTAAGACCTATCTCTAGATTCACGTTCATTGACTAATTTAGTAATGCCATGGAGCAATCAAAAATCGTAGTATTGTTTTGTAAAAGATGTCAGTTGAAGAAAGAAAGTACTCCTAATAAATTCTATAAATAGCATCATGATTACGCCTATAACTAGCTACGAAACCATACATTTTCTGCATTAGACACCACGCATGTAGAAGCAGAAATGTTAGGTTGCGTGTGGGTTAGGACAATCTATATAGCTAACTTGTTAACCACTAATTTAAGTATCTTACTATTTTAAGGTGACTAGGTTAACATCCCTAATTCTATACATATATTCTCTCTTAAGCTCCAACAAACGCATGGACGAGTGACATATGTATATATGACTAGCCTCTAGGGTCAAAACGAACTACAAATACGAAAAACTTTCACTTAATTTATATGAATTGTATTCATTCTTTATAATGTTGTTTCGACACACATTACATTCGAACGTACAACAAATTAAATATACTCTAATACCATTAAAAATAAAATAACTTTTTAATGTTCTATGTATTATGATTAGTGCAAGTTGGATATTTTGATGTGAAATACGTTGATATCTTGATATTAGACGACAGTTATATCAACAAATGAAGATAGTATGTATAACATTTTAAAAAGCTAAGCTGAATAGTGAATACTATACAAAAAATAACAATCAACTATGCTGGAAAATGATTCGAGTTAAGTTTAAAAATGTAACTTGGTGGTAATGTATATCGATGCCAGATCACGGACGTGTCTATTGTATGTTAGATGCCAAATTTCATTCTTTCATAGCACACGCACAGTTATCCCTAAATCCTACTGGCTAGTTGAGAAATTTAGTTTTTGCTGATTACTTTTATTATATAAATCCCTAAAGCCTTTCTGTATAATGAATTTTCCTTTGTAAGAATTATCTTTGTTAATCAGCTATTAATCAAATAAACGAAGTCTAATAAATAATAATATTAATATAATGTTACGAAGAAATTAATGGAATGAGAAGTAGGGACAATTATATTTACAGTAGGATGATTTACGTCGTCCAAAAGAAACCAAATACAAATAAGAATGCAAATTATATAACAAATAAGTGATGCAAATGTTTTATGTTTTACTATCAGTTCGAATAACTGATGCTAATTCCCCTGATTAATTTTTATTTTAGCATCATTTTTAAAAATGATATTACAAATTGATGCTAATTACCAGTTTTTTAGTAGTCCTCAATAACAAAAATATATAATACTCTACTTGTTAATTGGCTGTTCTGTAAAATTAAAGCTCATGTAACAAAGTTATTGCAAACATCGGGTCAGAAAACGACTAAATTAATCAAGAACAAGGGAGTGCAATTTGTCTTTTACAAAACTTTATAAATAATAGATGGAACAAACAAACCTATAAGCTCTTCTAACTGCGTAGATACAACGTTTTTGTTAATAAAGTTACTTTGTAAAAGATGTGTAAGTATATGTATTAAGGATTAAATTGTAATTTGTGAACTCTTAATTGTTCACTTGTGTACGTAATACTATTAAATTTTACCCAATTAGTAGTTTTTTTGTTGTTTAGCTTTTTCATCAATCATTAGTAATATATAACATTAAAATTCATTTGGGGTTTTCCCCTCTTTTTACCGATCTTCTTCATATTTTGGTCAACTTTCACCGATTTTCTTTTTTTTTTAGATATAATAGAAAATAATACACCAAAAATATCTATGAAGCATTATTTCTTAGAGTAACAATATATATTTCTGTCTCAAATATGATGTATGCGAATTTTTTTTTTTTTATTAATCACGACCTTAGTAATTTCTATACGGATATTCACAGGTAGTCTACCAGTAGGAAAGGATGAATTAATAGCAAAAGCAAGATTATTTTTATTGGGGGATCTCTTAATATATTTTTTCTTCTAAAAAGATTCTGTTTTCACTTAAAAAACGTTCAGAAACCCATGAAAACTATATACTCTTTTTTATACATAATTTAATCATATTAAAATATCAGTATTATATACTGTAAAAGCTTACTAATAGGGATCGGATGTTCTAAAGTACAACTACTAGTATAAGATAGAGCTAAAACAATACTTTCAATTCGTATGTATATAGATTACAGGTTTGTTATAATTACTAATTAGAATATCGGTTTCATCCCATGTTCATTTGTTATATATATATAGTTCATTCATGATAATATCTTATAGTGATTAAAGGTGAAAATAATGTTAAAATATAGATTTCCCCTTTCTTTAAATAGAAGTAACTAACAACTAAATTTTTGGATATGTATAAAATATCGAAGAAACTTTTTGTGTAGATGTTGATAAAGGATAAATCTAGTAACAAGGAAGTCTCAAGGTCAACTCGTACGTAAATAAAATTTATATTAATTGAGACGTATCCTATTTGTGCACAAACTAATGTCAAATCCTGTCTGATTCTATATAATTAGTCTTTCTACAATGTATATATTCTTGATGAAAAACTTATTTCGAAGAAAAACATAATATCTTACCGTTACGATAAAGAATTACCAATAAAATCCTGCGGTAGTGTTCCCACATAATCTATTTTTGATTTTGAACACTTTTTATCTCTTTTCTGCTCAACATTTTTCTCACATCTTAAAACTTTTTATCCTCCTACTGCATAACTACCGTTGATCGCGGAGGGAAAACAACTGAAGCTGCCCCACAAATGACAAATCATAGGGAAAACGCATACAAGATTCATACTATTACGTTAATAGATATATACTACATGCATAGTTATTTTTATTGTATTTGTTATCTAGATATATTGATTTGTTTCTTTTACTACTTACGAGATTGGTGACAAGAAGAGTTACAAATCAATTAAACTAGAGAATAGTATAAATTTTTATGAGAGACTACCGACGGGGAGACATGTGGATCCCACACCAAGAGGCACAAGAAGATGACTGGTCCTGGTGGGTCGTGGAGATTCACGTCAATCAACTAGCTTAACCAGGCCTTCAAGCTAACGCCGGACGAATCGTTTTGCTTTAACCCAATATTTAATCTTGTTGTTGATAATCACTATATTTATGTCTTAATTACGTATATTAGTGAATTACCTTGTTAATCACATCTCTTTTCAACTTTCTGACCTTCTTTTTATATCATATATATAGTCCAATTAAGATTTTAGACACCAATATTTTTTTTTCTTTTTTTGGATTAAAATGGACTTGAACTTTTGGAATGATAACTAAGAGTTTAGCTTTTCTAATTATGTATAAATAAAAGTAAATGGATTATATAATAAAGTAGAGGTGACACTTTTAATTGTTTTGGCCCAAAGTAGAGGTGACATTAAAACGCACTAAAAAGCATTAAATTATTATATGAACGTATAAATTGAGGTGGTGAAAAAAAAAAAAAAAAATAGAGGCGTGGGATAACTTTTTCTAATAAAGCAAAGACAAGTTAATAGGAAAGAGATTAGGTGGGTTAAACACTTTTATACTTTGTTCTTTAACTCTCCAAGAAGTTTTATTTTTATTGTTTCTCCGTTGTCTCTTTCTAAGTAAAGAAATATGGAACGGGGTTTGTAACTTGCAAGTTGTAAAATCATTGACATATAAAGATTAAACTTGTAAAATCACAGCCGCCGATATTTTACGTTGGGAAGAAAAATGTCGCTGTTTTGATGTTTGCATCGATTCTTGGGTTTCCTACGATGTCGTTTCAAAATTTCACGTTTTTTTAGATTTACATGTCATAGAAAGTAGAAACTATTGTCATGTCAATGAAATAATGGATTATGCTATTTTCCTACTATTTTTTCTAACCGATCGGAAAATTGATAAGTGGAAAAGTTAAAGTTTCTTTTTGTAACTTAATTTATTTATATTTTTGTTGGGTTTCAATAATATTTCTTCAAATTAGAGAAAATAAATTAATGTAAAAAAAGCAATTTTTTTTGTAAACATTACTTTCTTCCGAGTTAAATACAAATTTATTATTTTTAAATTTTCTTTTGGGACGTTGATATATATATATTTTTTTAAATCGAAATATAAAAAATATTAAAAATGCAAGTAAAAAAAAAAGTAAAAAATAGCAAGTAAAAAAAAAGTAACGTCGTGGAGGAGAAACGGCAAATGGGAAGATAAAAAGAAGTAACCGTTGTAAAATATCATTGGCTGATTCTTTACGTTTGACATCTCTCTCCTCCTCCTATACATAAGTTCTGCCTTAATTTATTACCCAAACTCCCACTCGCTCCTCTCCTCGCGTGCAGCCCACTCTCTCGTACTATTTTTTAAACTTACGTGCGCCACACGCGCTGAGTCCAAAGCGAGTGAAGCATTTTCCCACGGTAAAAAAAAAAAAAAAAATTGGAATTAGTTTAGTTTTTTTTTTTTTGCGGAGTTAGTTTCTCCTAAGGTTCATTTTTATCGTGCTAAACCGTTTCAAGAAACGGATTATATAAATTAAAGATCCATTCTTCCATCAATCTCAACAAGTTTCTTCTTTGTTTAACTTTTTTTTTTTTGTTTTGCTACTGAGGCTACGGAAAAAAAAAAGCCGACGTTGGGTCAACGGCGTTTTGACCGGGAAATACGACAAAGACACAAGGGTAAAACAGTCATTTAACATATTCTCGCATACGTATGTACGCAGGGAGAAAGAGAGATACAACTCAACCACTTTGTATATTTATAAGCGAAGAGATAAAAGAGAAGATAGAGAGATAGAGAGATAAAGGGACCAGAAGAGAAGCTCTTGTAATCCTCAAGATTATGTTTCCCCTCAGAAAAACAAAGAGAGCTTTCTACTCCGTCGTTGCCGGAGACGGCGACTTTACGCCGGCAAGGAAACGACGGCGATGTGTTTCTTCTATTTCTCCCTCGCCAGAAACTAAACCCGGACCCGATTTTCTAGATTCAATCCCCGACGATCTTGTTATTTCAATCCTCTGTAGACTTGGCTCTACAGCTCGATGTCCTGCTGATTTCATCAACGTTTTGATGACGTAAGATTTCCGGTTTATCCTTAACATAACCTCCTCGTACAGAGAGAGCTCTTTGTCTGAAATTGGATTCTTGGTTGTGTTAACAGATGTAAGAGATTAAACAGTTTAGCAACGAATCCTCTGGTTTTGTCGAGATTGTCTCGGAAAGCTGTCGCCGTCAGAGCTCATAATTGGTCGGAATCAGCTCACCGGTTTCTCAAACGCTGCGTCGACGCCGGAAGTCTCGAGGCTTGCTACACTCTCGGAATGGTTAGTTTGAGATTAGCTTCCTTACAAAAACTTTTCTTCTTTTTTGTTAAATTTCTCTTTTAAATTTGACGTTTTTGTTTATTATTTCCAATTGCTACAGATTCGGTTCTACTGTCTGCAAAACAGAGGAAACGGCGCGTCGCTGATGGCTAAAGCAGCGATTAGTTCTCACGCGCCGGCGTTATACTCTCTAGCCGTGATTCAGTTCAACGGAAGCGGCGGTTCTAAGAACGATAAGGATCTTAGAGCCGGTGTGGCTCTATGCGCTCGTGCTGCTTTCTTAGGACACGTGGACGCTCTCCGTGAGCTTGGTCACTGTCTCCAAGACGGATACGGAGTTCCGCAGAATGTCTCCGAAGGTCGGAGATTCCTTGTTCAAGCAAACGCTCGTGAACTCGCCACCGTTTTATCTTCCGGGATCGAAGCAAGGTCGTGGCTCGCTTTATCGCAGCCTCAAGTCCCTAATTCTAACCAAATCCAAATCCACGGTTGTCCATTGTTGAGCGATTTTGGATGTAATGTACCGTCGCCGGAAACACATCCGGCGAATCGGTTTTTAGCGGATTGGTTCGCCGTACGCGGCGGAGATTCTCCAGGAGATGGGTTGAGGTTGTGTTCTCACGGTGGATGTGGACGGCCGGAGACGAGGAAGCATGAGTTTCGGAGATGTTCGGTTTGTGGCGTCGTGAATTATTGCTCGCGCGCTTGTCAAGCTCTTGATTGGAAACTCCGGCATAAGATGGATTGTACTCCGGTGGAACAAGATGTAGGTGCCGGTGACGGTGAAGGTAACGTTCAGATTGACGGAAATCTTAACGGTGATAACGTATTCGTCCCAATGAGTTAACGGCAACAAGAAACGGCTGCGTTAATTAAATTAGAGAAAAAAAGGCCGCGAGATGAGGTAAACGAAGCTTATTTAGTTTCGTTTTTTTTTCTTAATTAGTGGAGAAGATTAGGATTAAAAAAAAGTATTACCAACGGTTAGATGGCGTTGAAAGTAATTTTTGTATTCTAATCGATTGTAAAGATGAGTATCAATGAACGGCTAAAATCTTTTCTGTTTTTATTTTTCTTGTTAGATTTTAATTTTAAATATACTTTTCTTCTTCTGTCATGTTGATCTCACGTTCTCTAAAAAAATATAGTGATATTTTTGCACTTATGAGACAATTTGTTTGGTCATTAAGAGGTTTTCTAATCTATGTAATAAAAGTAAATAAAACAAAGACACAAGAGCATAGGTTATATCAGTGCTAGATGATTCTATAAAGATGCAAACAGAGACACAAGAGCATAGGTTAGATATTGAAAGAGGTCTAAATTAGGTATAACATTTGAAAGACCTTGTTTCTCGTGAGCAGTTTCGTCTCATTTCATGCATTTTCTAACAGATTTTATCTATTCTACATAATCTAAACATGTCTTAGGTAGGCTAAAGGCTAAAGCCTTGTTAATTATGTTTCGATTTTTCAATGGTAATCTGGTACAGTTCACACAATATACAAAAATCAACTCCACCAAAAATGAAATTGATACATTCCAAAAACACAAAATAAGGGAAATTTTAAATTTGGAAACTTACCAAAATGGAAAATTCTAGCACAAAAAGCTTCATAAAATAAAATAAAAAATGGAAATAAATCAAAATAGAAAAAGGTAGGAAAGAGAGAGAGCTAGAAACAAGCTGTGATTCAATTGATGATGCTCTGTCTCCCGGCGGGGATCTACTCATTTATATGGAAAATAAAACTTGGTAAACATTAACAGGGTTAAATCCCAAGAGTTCTTTGTTGGAACCAATTTTGATATTTTTTTGCCAATTTTTCGGCTGACCTTTTTCGATGAAATGTTCACCGGAATGATTAGATTCTGAAAGCATCAGAAATATCACAATGAACATTTAAAGATGATATACTTAGATCATAAAATTGAATTTAATTTAATAGGATTGCGTCAAAAGTTTGAAACACATCAATTTTTTTGACTATATGTTAAAAATGTATAACGTTTATATAAAGTAGTGTATAGAATTTAACTCTCTTAGTTCAAAAACTTTAGTACAATATCTTAGGCCTCATTGGCTTTCATGATGTGCAGTACTTCAATGATGTCATGCGCGCCAATATAAGTTGGAGGATCCTCACAAAGCCCGAATGCCTTCTATCACGGATACTCTAAGGAAAATATTGCATTCAAAAGCACTTCCTAGAGGTCCCATATCCAACGAGCTGTTCTCACGACTGGAAAGGTGTTCTCATAGGCAGGGATCTACTCAGAAAAAATTTGGGATGGGCTATAGAGAATGGGGAGTCCGTAAAAGTCTGGACTGATCCCTGGCTGTCATCGGACAGTATGAAAACACCAATGGGGCCTGCTCCAGAAAACTACTCAGACTTAATGGTGGCAAATCTGTTCAAGCTGCACTCTCGAGAGTGGGACACAGAAAAGATCGAGAGTTTATTCCCATCGCTGGTCTCAAAGATTCTAAGCATCAAGCCCAGTAAACAAGGTGCACCAGACAGAAGAATCTGGTTAAAAAATACTGCAAGAGTCTACTCAACAAAAACAGGCTACTATTCAGCTCTGGAGGATAGGGAGAACCAAGAATCATCTCCGCAGCAGCAACAATTTAACTGGATAAGAGACGTCTGGACATTACCAACAGCAGAGAAAATAAAAGTGTTCATCTGGAAAGCTTCCCTAGATGCGCTACCAGTTAATGCTAACCTAGCAAACAGACAGATCATTCCAAAACCAGATTGTGCTATCTGTGGGGAAACTGAATCAATCCTACACATATGCTTCCTTTGCCCTTTTGCTCAAAGAGTATGGGATCGTGTACCTTTCGCTTCATCGTTTAGAGCAGCGGCGCACGATAGCTTTGGAGCAGGATGGAGAGCCCTACAGGACAATACTTGTCTCCCTCCGGTAGGCCTCGGACAGAGAATCCTTGCTCCCTGGATAATCTGGAACCTATGGACAGCAAGGATATACCGTATTTTTCAAGACAGAGGCTTTTCTGAACAAGAAACGGTAACAAAGGCAATCGGTGATGCCCATGAATGGGTCAATGCTCAAAGCATCATACCCCCTCCCACCCAAGAGATCAAAGCGCGAATGTACCTACAGTAGAAGACTGTGTCTGCCGATCGGATGCCACCTGGAAATCAGAACTACTAGCAGCAGGAGTAGCTTGGATTCATTCGTGAAATTGTGATGGATGGAGTCAAGCCCACTCGACAATCTTCGAGCATGTGAAATCACCCCTCGTAGTGGAGGGGCTAGCCCTGCGAGCAGCCATGGAGCATGCTTTGTCGCTGAACATCAAATGCATCTCCTTTGAATCGGACTCCAAGAACCTAATCTCAGCAATTGAAGAAGGATCATGCTTTTCCGACCTCCACGGAATCATCGCAGATATCGTCACTCTCGACTTTGTTCAAAAGAATCTCTTTTCGATTTGTTAATCGCAGTTCGCTAACCGTAGTTGATGGTTTAGCCAAACAAATGTTAAGTTCTTTTGTACCAAACCCGGTTTGATTATGAATAACAAAAATTGGTGACAAAAAAAAAAAAAGATAGACTTAACAACATACGCCCGTTTCACCTCAGCTTGGCTTTGACTTAGTTTTGGACTTGATAGATAAGCTTGGGTTATAAAATGTTTTTGTTGGGAGAGTTGATTTAAGTGGTTTTGTTCTCGTCCAACTTGAGAGTTTTGATTTGATATTGAATTATGCCTAAATCACTGTAGAGAAGAGAATGTGCATATTCTAATAAAAAGAAATTTCCATTAAGCAAAAGCTACCAGAAGCAGAGATAAATCTATCTGAAACTGACTCATATGAATAAAAAGTAAAAACTTAGGATAAAGAAATTTTTTTAATTCTAAAAAAATGAGTTTTTTTATTGAAAAAAGGAAAAGAACTCGATAAAACCAACCTTTTAGCCATATAAATAAAAAAGAGACCATAACAAAAAAAACAATCCAAAATTCTCAGAAAGCAGCAAGATAAGACCTAATATTTTCCTAATTCTTCTGTTTGATTTCTTAGGAGCTTTCACCTTTACTTTGGCTGAACATTATGTTTACGACTCTATTGTAATCTATGAATCCTTAAACTATAATAAATATCGTATTCTCTAAATCCTCAAATCGATTAGGTGATATTCCGCTTCAACAATTGCTATTCTCATTTTATTTGTGAAAGCAATACTTATATCTGTTTTCATTGGAAAAAGGCGAAAACCCCATTTAAACTCATGTGGCAACGATCGATAGTAGATAAGAATACATGCAGTATGCATAAGTCCCGCTCATAGTTAAGCAAAGTGACATGAAGGATGAGATACATAAATCTTCGAACAAAAATAAAAGGTGTTTGATAATACCTGAGTCAACTATATAAACTATGGCCGTAAGAAATAAAAGTAAACACATATATATATATATATATATATATATATACTTGAGAATATATTATTGCGAATAAAGGTATGGAAGATGAAATGATACCCTCCATATAATGCATATGCTTTACAAGATTCTGATGTGTCTCGTGATGGTTTTATATTAACGTTGGATTATTTTCTATTTTGGATGGGTGAACTTGAAAATTACCATCGTCAAATAATTTTTTGTTGTTTCATAATTTTCATCACAAATATTTATCCAAAGCTGTCTTCAAATCTAAAACAATTATGGGTCAAAGGAAGTTTCATTATAGAGTTCACAATGATATTGTTTGCATAGCTTAGGTATCTTAAGACAAAAGTTAGTGTATGGTTCCTTAAAAAAGATTATTTCAATCATACTACGCATAATCTATTTACACTAATATACATTATATATTATCCGGGACAGAATGAAAATCAGGTGCTTTTTTAACACTTTGCTATCTGCTTTTTGTTGGAAACACAAATATTTGTTTTCTTTTTTAAAGATTCTACTCTATATATATATGCAAAAATGTATATAAAATTATTATTTGTAATAGAGTGATAATTTAATATAGAACGCTCAGACATTGATCACTTACCACATTTTCTATACTTGGGTTGGCATTTTGACGTAACAAATCTGTGGGGTTACTACTTATTTAGGATATTTGCACACCTAATTCAAGGGTACTAAATCCGCAGGACAATAATTATATATAGACACATGAACGTGACTTTGATAATTGAGATTTATAGCTTTCAATGTAAATTTAATATTGTAGTTACTCATACCAGCAGGCAGCAGGCAGCAAGTTAAATGATAAGCAGTGATTAAATTATAACTTTGAGATTAATGGGTGACAAACCATCATGGGGTCTATTTAGTTTTTTTTTTTTTTGATGTACTTTGTGCTTTTTTTTTTTATTCTCGTAATTAAATTAGAGAGACCGCGAAATCCTCACTGCAAATCGGAAAAAAAGACGATTAAGAGAATGTTTAACGTCTGATTTGAATAATCGTGGACCCTCTTTGATACGTTATTGTCTCCACAACCACAATATATCAGCATAAACAAATCTTTTGATTTTATTGGCCCATCATCATTGGTTTACACTTTACAGTTTGCGTTCAAAATCATTATTGCATATATTCTTGTACCACTAAACAACCAAGTAAACACAATTTGTTAATAAGTCTTCAAAAATGTTTCCTTCGTTACACATAACTAAAGAGTTAATCTCAACTTGAACATAAACACCATATTTACATTTATAAGGGTTTTTAGGATGACGTATATCCTCCAATATTTTTATGATCAGATAACATTATAGAAAAAAAGCAAATAAGGGAGGAACATAGAGGAGTGTATTAGTGGGAGAGAAGAAGGAATTTTGTGAGGGGAGTGGGCTTGTAAGAAAAACTTTACTCCCACCCACACACAAAGCATTTTAGTCTAAAGTCTTTTCCAAATAATAATGAAGTGTGAAATTGAAAAGTAAGAAAAACCATTAATGAAACAACAATGTTAGCAATGGAATGTGAATAAATTGATCAAAGTTCTTAAATCCTATGTTCTTGTAGTCAATAGTGTAAAATTGGATACATTTATTCACATCCCGCTGTGAAAATTGGTTATGCTAACATTGTTTTCATCAATGATTTTTCTTAATTTTCAAAGTTCTTAAAACCTATGGTTCTTGTATGACCACAAAAAAGTCTTATGTTCTTGAAGACGTACAGACGAATTATATTATGTGTTGGACCAAAAAGCTTGCATTTACTAATTTACTTGGTGGGAAATTTTCTGAATAACCAGCCAAAGTTGACTCATTTAATAAGTAGCTTTCTATAATTCTATTGCAATCAATTAAAATTTCTCGTGGACCTTTCTGTTCATTTACCTTCTTCTTTCTCTTGTGGGGGTCAAAATAATAAATGAATCAATTTTATTGAAATTTGATTGCATAAAAATAGAATATAAGAGTGTGGGGATGGTCCAAGAGGCCCAGCCCATTTATTGCCTGTGGTAAGTGTTGTCCACTTTAGTCATGTGAATTTGCTTGGATTCTTTTAGGTGGAACAAGTTTTGTTTTGATCCTAGTAAATATCTCACATGCTTTTCGGCCAGAAGGTAAATTAATTTTTACCAAAACTTTGATTTTAATAGATGGGCTTATTTATTGGGCAGCTGAATCGGTTTGGTAAAATTTGATCACGGCGTTGCGAAAAGAGAAATACAAACCGCGTGACGTTACTAGGAAGCAAAGACGTCTTGTTTCCTCGTTCCCAAGTACGAAACAACACGCAGTTTTTGTTTCTATCAGATTTCTGTTTTCTTCATCATCATACTCGCTGGGCCGTTCTATCAAAAACTCTCTGACCGCGAAGCTTCTGCGATCATCCTCATCTGGTTTCGTATCTAAGCGTAAGTTTTCTATATATCTCAAAGGGTTTGTGTCGATCTCCATTACATCTTCGTAGGAGGAATCAAGTAAAGAGCTTGATGCACCCTAATTGATATCGTTGAAACTTAACCTAGATCTAGATTGGGTACCGAATTTGACTGTATTGTGTTAGGTCACAGAACCCAATTCATGAAATCGATGCAGCGAATTTGATAGAAACTCCAATTTCTGGGGAATTTGAGATCAATTTCTTGAGTAGTGTGTGTGTTTTTTTTTTTCAGTTGCAGTGATTTCAATGGGTTTCATAATGGAATTCGCGGAGAACTTGGTGCTAAGGTTAATGGAGGATCCGGAGGTGAGAGACAGGAAAGCGAGGGAGCACATATACGAGATGCACGAGAGGTGCAAGAAGATTAAGGAGATGTGGGCATTACCTATTCGTCCTTACGGTTTCTGGACATTTGAGCGTCACAACGCTCAGCTTCGTTGGGATCCTCAGATCAGTCAGGTTGCTGGTCGGAGGGATCCTTATGATGATCTCCTTAAGGACCACCCTTCTTCTTCGTCTTCGAACTAATCAAACAATGGTGGTGAGTTTCCTTATGGGCTATATTATATGATTCCATTTAGAACCAGCTTTTTGAATATGGCCATGGGTTTTCTCTACTACATAGTTCTCTGTCATTGGGTGAATTGCTATGGTCGATATATGCTTTAGCTTTTTGGGGTCGACGAAATGGTGTGAACTGTGAACTGTGTTTGCGGTTTGTATGGTCTATAAGATGTATCGGTTTTTGGTGGTTGGCTTAGCCATTGTATGTATGCACTGTTCATCAGTGTATCCTTGTTTCATTAGCATAGTGGTGTGGAGCAAAAGTGTATTGTTCATGCGATGTGCTTGGAATATGCAGACTTTCTTCTTGCTTATTTACAGTTTCAGGCTTTCAGCTTCATTTACCTCTTTTCTTCAAGCATAGCTGCTGTTAGCAAAAGAGACATATCTTTGATCCGTTTATTTTGTCTGTTGCAGAGCGAAGATGTGTGTTTGAGGCTGTCTGGATGGATGCGAATGTGTGTTTCAATTCCCGAAATTGTTGTCCCTTTGTTCCTATTTGTTCTTCAGGTGTCTGAAAGCTTGGTACAAACTCAAATAATAACTCTGATCTTATGTTTACAAATGAGAGAGAAGTACTTAATTGGTTCTTAGTAAAGTTGCTTTTGGTTCTCCATCTTTGATTCGAATATACTTTTTCTGAAATGTGATAAATTGTTCATGCTCTTCAAAGATTTTGTTGCTCAATGTTATCTCTCCTTGTTAAAAAAGATAGAAACACAAGCACCACATTTTCACACCAACAAGAAATGAAACACTTGATTAACTACAAGTCCAAGTTTTGTAGTCAACGAGAAAGGAGAAAAGGCCTAAGATCAAACTTAATGTATATATCTCCTGGTTGAAAAAAATGGTAGAAACACACGCTTCACATTTTCACACCACCAAGAAATGAAACAGCTGCTACTTAATCACATGACCAAGTTCAGTGATCGGGAAAAAAAACATAAAGGGCCTAAGATCATTTACACAAGTAACCAAACCCAACAAACCAAACACTCCAAAGGCAAAGTCACAAACGTGTTAATCTGAATCCGAATCAGACTTCTTTTCATCAGTAGAAGTCGTAGTGGTAGTAGCAGTAGTATCATCTCCTTTCTTTGGCGCTGCGTCCTCCTTTTGATACGCCTTAACAAAGTCATCAACAGGGACCAACGGAAGATAACCAACCACAGGGTAACCCATCTGAGTCATATCCGTCACCAAGTCGTTGTAGATTCCGGACAAGTTTGCAGCCACGGGCAAAGCTTTGGCTCCCACTGCATGGATTGGTTTGTACTGGTTGAGTTTAGACCAGACCTTGACTGAGTTGGTCACAAGGAAGTACTTGTACTCGGTTGCAGCAAAGTTAAAGGCAGCTTTGGGACCACCGGTACGAGCCTCTTTCACAAAGCTTTGAGCCTTCTCTGTTGCCTTGTTGATCAATAGATTCGCTTGAGTCACCACTTGCTTAGCCATTGGAGGCGCATGCTTATCAAACTTGCACGAGGCTTCACCAACCTAGAGACCAAACAAAGAAAATATTTAGAAACAAAACTAACAAATCGCTTCTTAGCAGATCTACCCAAATCCCAGAGGAAAACGATGCTAAAAGGAGAAAACTAGAACATTTTTTCCGATTGGTAAACAACAAGTCTCTTGTGATCAAGAACATGAAATTTGGGGTTACCTTATGATCGAGAAAGACGAGGAGAGTATCAGGAACATCCTTGAACTTGTTGTAGACAGGGATGACGGCGGCGGTGACGGCTCCTTCCACCTTTCCGACGGCGGATTTAAGAGGACCGGAGTTTTGCTTCGCGTAGTCGTAGAGATTCGAGACGCTAGCCAGAAAATGGATCGCCGCGATTCTCACAAACCCTAGGTGTTTCAGCCCTAGCTCCTTGCTATTCGTCTCCGTCTCCATCTACGCCAAAAGAAAACCACCGACAGATGAGATCACTCTGTTGATTGATTCACAACAAAAGAAAGAAGGAAGAAGAAAAGCGATGATTAAATCTTTACCTGAATTTTCTTTCGTGCTTATGCTCTTCGCAAATCTCGCCTGTCTGTCACTGCTGCTCTCTGTGTTGTGATAAATCAGCAAAGTATCTTCACATCACGTTGAGGACGTTTAAAAAGACGAAAGAAATTGAATCGTCCACGTGATCCAACGGTTGAGAATAGATCTGATAGGTGGGGCCTCTTAAAGAGAGTCGTTTTCTTGAAAATGCGTGTCGTGTGTGGATGTTTCTAGGTTGTGTAGCTGTGGGCTCCGCCTGACGTAAATGTGATATTTCCGGTGAAGACACGTGTATACTTCCGATTGCATGGTAATCTTGTATATAATCTTTAAGGTTGTAGATTAGTAGATGAATGGTAGTTTTGAGAAGGAAAATATTTTTTAGTTCATAGTTCATACTATATTTGAAGGATTCGGAGTATTACAAAATCAATAACGGGAAATTGACAAAAGGGTTTAATAAGTGTACGAGTTGTAATTACTTTTTCCCAACTTTAATGCAAATATCCTCTTCCCAAAAGTCATAAAATGGCAATAATACTTTAAAGGAAAAAGCATGAAAAATAGTATGTGGGGGAGATAAACTGAATGCAAAAGGGGTAAATAAACAAATAAAAGCAAGTGACACAGTCTGATATGGATAATGGAGTTTTGATAGATAAAACCATAACCACCGAGGAATGTGGTTAGACTTGTAGTGTCTTGAAAGGGAATCTTCAATTAACCTGAGATTTTCGGGCGCTTTGAGTACTGAAGAATAGGATCTCTCACCTGGTAACACAATCAAAATACGCATATATCAGTTTCAACACTATATGACTCACAGGTTGAAAAACATAAAAGAGTATTTGAGTTTAAGTATTAAGAGACAGACCATGCTGGTTTTCCTGCCACGTCTGTCCTGTGAGGCTTGGCTACAGTTTGTGTCAGCGTCCTTGGATTTGTTAGCAGCCACTCCATAGACCGTAAAGCTCTCCCTCGAAGCCACAGGCTGACCAACAATTACCGAATTAGGAAACAACTTAAAAGAGTCGGCACAATATAGGATATGTTCATTCGGTTGTGTGAAGTGTAATTTGATTTTAACCTGTGCTTTAAAGCTAGTTGGAGTGTTATTAGCTTTGGAGATTGTCTGTTCACTTATCACCGAGCTGTTCTGCTGCATCCCGGATCTTCCTTTAGTACGTGTGAAGTCTGATCCTATTGAGTGGATGCCTCCACACGTAGACACATCTGTTTTTTTTTGTCAAAAGATCAAAGGTTTTCGTGTGACATGAACATCAGTTTGATTAACACAGCTCAAAACTTGCAAATAGAGTGTACCTGCAGGTACTATGGCCACTTGGCGGATGGTCTTGTTTGCAGGTTCGTTATCATCCACATCCTGTGAAATCATTCATGTTAGAAAAGCTGTTCCAATGATTTATTTATAGTTTCTAAGTTTAAAGACTATCACCATATCGTCTGTTGCAAGAACCTTTCTGACTTCATTTAGCTTCCTCTCTGTTAGACTAGAATGAATCACACGCTTCCCTGTATATACACATTTTGCATCAATGACGCAAACTTGTGACCAACAAAACTTACAATAAAAGAGGAGACAACAAACCTAGCCTGCGGTTGCTAGAAGCTTCCACGTAGCCGTCTTGGGTCATCCTGTCTAATAATTTACGAACAGCGGACTGATTTGCTTCACCGTCCAGCATGTTGTGGAGCTTTGGGATCGTCACGTACTTCATAGGAAGAGAATGGTACAGAGCCTTAACCAAAAAAAAACAAAGTGTTAATAATCGACCTCAGGACCATCTTTATTTATCTACATCTGCGTTGCCTGTACATTAAACATAAAGTAGTATAGGCAGAGTCTCTCACTTTCATGTACATGAAGTCTTCAGGAGGTATAGCTTTTGCATCCTTTGGAGCAGTTTGACCATCAGCTTCATCTTTCACAAACGTAAATTCGCTCCCTGCTGTCTGGTCATATATTGGGTTTAGTTGATGGCTTAATTAGATAAAAAAATTGAATGAGATCAAATTAGTAGGATGGATTGAATTATATACCTTCTCTCTGTTTCTAACGTACGTGTCCTTCCCTGTTTTCGAAATAGCACCTTCTTTCTCGAGCAGATCCATGATTTCTGAAAGTCATGGTGTGATCAATTAGTGGAGGAAGTTAAAACTCTGAAGTTAACAGTATATATTAACTATATCAAACTGTAGATTTTCTCATTGTATGATGTTTCCAGGGTGACATTTTGTAGTGAATTTCATCAAGCTTTGATTTACCTTCAGATAGAACCTGAAACAATAAATAAGAGTGGCTCAGATTCTAAAACGGCAAGAAACTAGATACGCAAGAGCTCAGTTATGGAAATGAAGAGGAAAAACTCCTTACTAATGAGATATCTGGGAAGTTTGAAAGAACATCTGTGAGATCCACAGTATCGAGGTGACGGGAGTTGATCCAGTCTTTCACCCTTGCTAACTGCTGTTCATTTTCAGCCGGATCCTGTGTGTCATCTTGAAGCATTCCATAGATAGGTGAAATTAGAAGAAGCTTTTCTAATTCAGAGATATAAACATTTGCGCTAATATCTGTATAACAACTCACCTTCATCGACCTCTCCATCATCATCATCTTGTTTCTCTGTTAGATTACCAAGTTTACTCAGATTAGTGAAGATGATAATAGACTGGCATAGCGTACTAAGAATTGTTGATCATCATTACCTACTGCCGCCACGATGTATTGGTTTTCTTGTGTTTGACTGATCTGGAAACCACAATGAACATTACATTACGTTTTAGGTATATTTGAGTGTAACGCACGTACGATGTAATGACCGAGTAAAAATCAGATGAGCCAATTATGACTTTGCTAACCTCGCTATCTGTATCAGAAGGCAAGTCATCATGTCCGGAATCAGGTCCAGTACTCTTACCATCATCTTTCATGTCATCATTTTCATCCTCACAAGGATCAAGCACGCTCTTAACCTGTACAGTTCATTTACAAACGATTAGCATTATAAGACAAGACATATGTCATCCGAGTTGCATTTTCTTCAATCACTACCTTTAATGTTAACACGAGATGTTTGCTGTTAACATTTCCAACTTCCATCCTCAGAGGATTCTTTGTCCATACATACTGAGCTTCTTCTTCTGTACAGCCACGGAAGAAAGGTGGCTCGTAATCTGGTGGCTGCAGTTAGGTTCAATAAGAGACGTCAGTTTTTCTTCTAGACATTTGAAATTTGGCAGAGCAGAGCAATAAGATGAAAAGCATTGACAGATTCCAAAAGAAAGCAAAGTTTTATTCCGGAGGAAACAATCAAAGCTGCTTGTATGTGTCAATAAGTGTGAAGAACCAATCATTAATCTAGGAAATTCACAAGCACAATATTTGAATGCTTATCACAAAATGTTAATCTAGAAGTCAGAGTTATTACACGAAAGAAGCTCTATTCTAGCTGCATTAAGATCATAATAATATAACCAAGGATCATAATTAAGGAAGAAGGCTATAAACATACCGTCACATCATCGTAGTACAAAAGCTTCATCACTATGGTACGCTGGAGCAAAAGCAAAAAGACAATAATCTCAGTAATCAGCAATCTAGAAACTGAAGAAAATGAAATAGCCCTGAAGGTTAGTTAAAATATTCATTACCTCATCTGGCATTTTGTCAAGAGTCCTCATCAGCTGAACAAGTGTACGAACCATTTTGCAAGCCGAACTCCTGGTTTCATGAAAAGTTATATAGCATATGCCACGAAAGATAAAACCATATAGACCTCAAACTAGGAAAGAAGCATCTGAACTGTATACCTCATCTGATTTGGGGTAATGTCAGCAGTGGAGTTAAAAGTTCCTCCATGTTTCTTATTTCCAGTACGATTGATGTTCATCATGACATCTTGGCTCTCAGAATCTGAATAGCTGAAAGAAACTGCAGAAACACAAGCGCTCTTCATCAAAATTAATAATGAATGTTCCATCAAAATAAATAAAGAACTGACGACCATACACCAGAAAACCACACTATTATCAAGCTAATCAATATTCTCGCCAGAACTTACATGCGTACTCCTCAATCATCGGACCATCTACTGATTCACAAATGCAGAACATGAGCGTCTTCAAGTATTTCCTCTGCAGCGCATCGTAGACACCTAGATTCCATCATGAGGAAACAAACAATCATTAGAGATAAGTGATTATACAGTTAAAAGTAATCATGGAATGTCGAAATCGTTAGTGTCGAAAACCTTTCTCCATCCAGTCAATCAATCGGCGTGATTCGGCGTCGATAGGCATCAGCTTCTTGATCTTCATATCTGTTTCGAAATCATCCGCCAATAATTAATTCCTATAGTTATACAAACGGACCCAGAGCTCTAGAAACTTCCAGATTAAGCGGCTTACCTAAAGCAGGAACCGTTTTGTCGTTGAAATACATCTCAGGGAAGAGGCCTCTGATGTAACTGATATTGAAGATAGCAATCCGGAGCAAATTCCGAGTCTATTTCAACAAACCGAAGACCAAAACAATGACGCCAGCATCAAATAGCTACTAATCAAGCAGTTTAACACGATTTTACAAATTAGGCAACAAAAATGGTGTATCGCGTCGACGGAAAGCAGAATCAAGAGACTAAATCCATATCTAGATGATATAAGCAAACTTAACCCAGATCAATCTCAGCAAAAATCACCAGTAAGGAACGAGAAAATTCACTCATCCATAAGAAACAGAAACGAAAGCTCGGCGATGGCGTTATGCTTACCAGAAGGAGCGAGTCCTGTTCGGTGATCTCAGCTTCCTTCAGCTTCTGAACGACGACCTAAGGGAGAAAAAAAGCAACACGAAATCAGATTGAGAGAACTGGAACGGAGCGAAAAGCTTCTGTGACTAAGAGAAGAAGACGGAGAGGAGAAATCGATGTTCGGCGTCTCATGCTCACCATTTTTGAAAAGGTAAGAAGCGATGAACGCGATTCGTTGTCGCAGAAATTTCAGAGAGAAAGGGAGAGAAAGAGAAGAGAAAATTTCAAAAAGAAAAAATTAAATGCAAAAGGATAGTGTGTGAGAGTGTCTCTGCAAGCGAGTTTGAAGTTTATAGAGAGAGTATAGTACAGAATGGAGAAGGATACCTAGGGGCAATATTGGTATTTAGGGAAGATAGTAGGGGCAATATTGACCAGCTACCTCTAACGTCCTATAGGCAGGCTATTGTCACGAACAAGCGCTACCCAAGTTCGTTGCGCTGAGTGGACCCTACTTAGATTTTGAATCTTATGCATTTCTTATTTAGTTTTGTTTGAAGAATTACAAGAAAAAAAAATACCTTCATTCGTGTAACAATTTATCGTTACAGTTACCGAAGATAAAAGTCTGACAATGATAATGTAACAAATATATATACAAAATCCAAAAAAATGTGACAAATTTTACTTTTGTGTTGTCACATTTAGTTTTTAATACATAGAACATGTTATTTACATTTCCATGCACAAATGATTTCCCAAATTCATAATACTTCATATTTTTTCGACTAAAGACGCAACTAGCCGATAATTCATTTCTTGACCGTAGAAACGAGATTCCCAATAATACGACCGATGGAGAATCTAATATGTGGTGGAGAGTGAAGCTACATGTAAATAGTAAAATGTTTTTTTTTAAATTGATAATTCTCTTAAATACACCAATAATTCAATATTCATTTTCTTATAGTAGGCCAAAGTTCGAATTTTTAACACTGTAATTTCAGTCATAAGTACTCAATTTTGAATACTTTAAATAACAAGAATATTCGGATTTATATATCAGCTTATCTACCATTTTCTCGCAATGACATAACAACAAACTTGTTTCACTCCTCTCGCAGGTCGAATATTTCTGAAAAATCGACCTTTTTGTTTGTTTCTTCTTTAAAATTGTCTTAAAAGACTAAAGTAACAACACAAGATTTGGTTGGTAAAAGAGTAAAGACTAAGAGAGTAGAGAGAAGGATGGCATATCCTCGATCCTGAAAACATCATCCATCATTAGCTCTCTCTCTAGCTGTCCTCTCGTAGATCTTAGCACATCCTACAACATCCATTAATAGTCATCATCAACATAATCATCATGACCATTACCATACAATACAAGCATTACATATCATATGGAAACACGATCGCACTCACGTTAAATTCCATGTAGGTTGCATTCTTCTCTAGCCATTGCTTGTCCATTACCGCAAAGGCCACACAGTAAAGCAAATCAAAGGCCCATTCGTTTTCTGGATTTCCAAAAAACTTAGTAAGAAAATCAAGTAACCATAGAGCCAAGATCATATTATATATATATATATATATTATTTCCATATTTTACCTGAAAGCATTTGTAAGAATATCGACCGAACAAAAGTCCTAGGCTTTGCTGCACATGTATCATGTATGTAGTTCGAATCAAAGTCGTAAACCAAAACATTAATGAAGAATAAGTGTGAGTGGAGACACTCACAGGCTTCTAGGTCGAGCATTTGCATGATCATGAAGGTTATGTTGACGCCAGCTACAGCGAATGGATATTCCCAAGCCGCTCTTTTGCCTCCTTGTTTCTTCAACAGACGTTGAAACGAAGTCTACACAAAAGGAACAAACAAAAATTCACATATAAGTAGGAGGGTTATCAAATTTATGTCTGAGACTAGAAAGTGATGAGAGTTAAGTTTTACCGAGAATGTCTTGGCAAAGAAGAGAAGATTCTCCAGTGATATGAATCCAGCTCCTCTGATAACAACAACGGTCACAAAAACCAAATTAAGCACTATTTTTTTTTTCGCATGATCTGTTACTATAAAGAGAGAGATATTGACCTGAAATCAGTGGATGGATCTCTTCCTTGCCATCCCATTTCTTTCCACTGATCTGAGATCAAAGCTTGAAGCTTTTCACCGGGATACGTTGCTGACCACAATGCTCTCAGTGCATCTTGATGGTCAGGCCGTGACGCATCAAAGTAATTCTTCATTCTCTTCCTCAGCCTCTTTAGTCTTTCTTCCTGCAAAAGCATCAAAAAATGCATTAACTAAAGCCAATTAATGCAGATGTTGTTTTCTATTTGTGGTGTTTTACCTGCAATGGTGTTAAGTTAGAGCAGATACGTTCATAAGCTCTCTTGCGGTAGAAGCACACACATGTTAGCCTCTTCTTGATTCTCCAACTAGGCGTGCCACCACAGCTAGTCGCGTCATCTGAATCTGCATTGATCTGCCCTACATTAACAAACAAGAACATGCTTAAACATTATGTATTTAAAAACTCAACAAGAACACGAAGCCAGAACCTAGTATGAACTAGTCTTTCCCAGACTATAGAACTAAAGTAGCTTCGTTTGTAATTAAAGAAAGCTTTAAAACACAATTGGTCAAGTCTTTAGCTAGTCACATATATACTCTCATTAAACATTGAGTAGAAACCTTACTATTTAGTTTTTGAGAAAATATATCATTTTCAACCAAAAAGAAAGGATTTTAGTTAAGGTTCGGTTTTAGATTGCTAAGGCTATGGGGAAAAATAAAATTCCAGATCGGTTTAATTTGATTTCGGTTCGATTTTTGGATTAATTTTTATACGGTTCTGGTTTGGTGTGGTTTAGATTGGTTAAACTAAGATGGACACTCCTTCATCTCGTTATGGTGACAAGTTACCTAACAATAGACATAGTGTATGTATATAACTCTAACCACGTTACCATAAATAGAAACATTATGATTGATTATTCTTTGAAAGTCAGTACCACTTGACTCTTAGTCCGGTTTTATAAACTTGTCAACATTTGCTCTGGAGACTGATTTAGATATATGGGGACCAAAACACAAAACACCGAATATTTATCGTTTATAAAAAGAAAAAATAAATTTAAAGAGTTCATCGTTTTTCTTATATCGATCGAATTTTAAGAATTAATCCAAGAGTGTGTGTAATTTGTTTGACCTACTAACATAGATCTAGTTAAGTTTGACTCACGTGGCAGACCGATTGAATCAATCACGGATCTCCCAAACCCGTCCGATTAAACTAAACCGGTAAAATCCTATGCACCACCGATATGAATTATTCACATAGGGACCCACAAATGGGACCCAATCTTAGATTATGATTCAGACACGAAATGAAGCCGATGCTCCTTCTAACCCGGACACCTAATAATTGTGCCAAGAACAGTCCCTAAACACCACATATATTAAAAAAAAATCATTATACTGTTTGATACTATCACTGCCATATTAAAATAAAATTATAAAATACTTGTAGATAGGTTTTCTTTGGTTATCAGTTATCACTCATCACACACGTTAGTGAGTCAAACATACTGTAGATAGCCTTAATCTGCTACAGTTACTAGCTTTGAGTGAATAAATATATCATCACTGAAAACGACTGTTAATTATACAAAAAATACATTTATTTTTAATAAGAGACAAACAAAAACGTGGATCACTTGGCGCAATGTGCAACAATTAGGCATTTACACAACCAAACTAGCTAGTAAAATGAAAAGAAATGGAGATTTTAAATTTGGAAAGTGATCTTAGCTGGTGATTAGATGGTGAAGGGAGAAATTAGTTTAGTTTCCATTACTTAAAAAATCGAAAAAGAAAATTTATCCTTCGCATTCGATGGATCTAATCTCTCAATACGAGAGCAAAATAATGACAAATAATCGAAATAAATCAAAGATCAAATACGGCATTTCCGATGAATTATTCCGGTAGAAAATGTAACCGGCGAGAGATTTTAAAACAGAGTAAGCGGCGAAAGAGATAACGTACCGGCGGATGAGGAAGATGAAGAGGCAGAGGCGTCGGAGTGGGCGGAGCAACCGCCCGTGGAGGAGGGAGGTGAAAGATGACGTGTCCCGACGCATGATATTCTGACAACTCGCATCTCCTTTTTAAAGATATTATCTCCAGATTCCGGTTGGTTTTTGACGGAGAGAACGTGCCTGTTACTCTCTCTTGCTCGTCAGCTTCGGCGACTGTGAGTTATTTATAGAGAGTACTCGTTTACTAGTTAGCGAAATGACGCATATACCCTTCATCAGATTTAGAGATAATAAAGTGCATAATACATTTTTCTTTTTTGGTGTTATTTAGCCAATTACTCTCCTCCACCTTCTTTAACCACTGGCTCAAAGAGATTATGGATCAAATGAACAAAGTTTTGGCTTCCAGAATAATGGTGACATTATCTCTAGTGGGTTGTTAGAACAATACATCTGAATTGATATCCATATATGCCATAGAACACATGAAACTATGAAAGCACTTGAGAAGTTTGCTAAACTTATCTGGAATTCCTTTTTGCTAAAAAAAAAAATTGAAGCTTGAACAAGAAGAATAAAGGAGAAGCAGCTTGAAAGATACAAGTATCTGGTTATAAAAAAAATGATGTTTTTAAAGTATACATTGCCTATATAAATGGATTATGAAACGTTACAAAAGAATCAACTAATGTACAGTATTGGAGGGAAGAAGGAATGAAAAGACTTAACCTTGAGAAAAACACTTAACCTTGCTCTTGTGTAGAATTATGATATGAGAGAGAGAGAGAGAGAGGTTATTATAAAAGAAGAGCTTACCACTTTGATGTATTGTGTTGTTGCTACACTTTTCTCATAGTGAACATCAGAGTTACCAGCAAGTAACTTAACAGAATTATTATTAAATATGAAATGATTAACTATAAAAAAAAATGAAGATTTGCTCATTTTGCCATGTTAAGGGAATGCTTACCAAGACAGATTCTTCAGCCTTTTGGTTCCTTATAATAGCAACCAACAGTTGATATTTCAGACAAGTCTATGGTAATTAAGCAAATTATATCCTAAGAACTAAGCTATCAATGAAAACTCAAAAAGGAACTAATATTCAAGATACAATTTTGACAAATTTTTAACTTATTTAACAATTACAAAGGAAAACTAATATCTCTGAAACAATTAGAAAAAGTTAACATAAAGATCTTGTTCTACATAAGGATCATGTTCTTGAGATTGTAGTCAACGTGAGAGAAAGAACAAACCGCGGAATCTTAGCTTAAACCGTTTGTACCAATCTCGATTCTTGCTTAATGACAGCTTTAATGCAAAGACAGAGATGAAAATATTTCAAATTGTATCCACCTGTGAAATAAAACATTGAAAGCTTTTTGTTCATCATAAACCATGGCCTCATGTTAGGATCACTGGATCAGAAAACATTTGAGCGTGTCGATTAGTGGCCATTGTCCTTTGGGAACATGTAGCAAAACCATTGTCCTGCAGCAATCAACACATATTTTCTCAAAATTACATATCAAAAGATGTAACGCTAAATAAATACACTAATCACAAACGGTACAAATAAATGACCGTTACAAAAACACGTCGCCGACTTTAAACCCAACTCTAAAGATTTCCTTTTTTTTTCCATATCTCGGCTACAAATTTCCTTTTTCCATATCTCGGCTACAAATTTCCTTATTTTTTCAGATAGTCATCCAACGGTCCAGATCTCTAATTGAACCCTAACTCTATAACTATAAATCTTTCATCTCTCCTTCTGCCACAATCCAATTTCCTTTTTCTCGCTCTCTCTATCACAATCACAATCACAATTTGTTGTTTCCGCTGCATTTTTTTTTGTTTTTCCAGATAGTGATTCAGTTTCAGAAACCCTAAAAAAATCAACGATGCAATCGAGCGAAGAATTCGTGAAATTTCTAGGTGAAGGCTCTTACGGCTATGTCCATCTCGTGAAATACACTCATCCCGACGGCTCCTCCTCTGAAGCCGCCGTGAAAAACTCCTACGAGGACGACTTGGACAATCTTGAAAGAGAGTTAGAGATCTTACTCGAACTCAGAGGAAACCAGAAAATCATCGGATGCTTGAGGGACAATCTGGAGCAAGGCTTAAGCTTTAACGGGAACAAAGTCCACAAGTTGCTTCTCGAGTATGCACCCGAAGGCAGTTTAAGCGCTTTCATGGACAATTTCTCCGCCGACAGAAAGCTTCCCGAGTCGATGATTAAAGACTTCACGCGGATGATTCTTCAAGGTTTAGTCTCGATTCACCGTCACGGCTACGTTCATTGCGATCTCAAATCGGACAACCTACTTGTGTTTCCGTCGACGAGACATTCAAATTCGCCGTACGAGGTGAAGATATCTGATTTCGGAAACTCGTTGAGGGTTGGACAAGTTCCTGAGTTCTGGGAGATTGATTTTCCATTCGTTGGGACTCCGATCTACATGCCGCCGGAGTCTCTCCGTGACGGCATTGCCAACAAAATCCTAGATCTTTGGTCTGTGGGATGCCTTGTCCTGGAGATGTACACAGGAGTGGTTCCATGGAAAGGCGTTGGACTCGATGATCTCAAGACTCGTCTTCTTGATGGCAAAGCTCCTGAGATTCCGGAGAGTTTGCCTTGCGATGCACGGAGCTTCATCGAGACTTGTTTCTCTAGGAAACCTGAGGAGAGAGGAAGCGCGTTTGAGTTGGTGTTTCATCGCTTCTTGCGTCGTGAAGAGAGAGTAAACTCGTTCTTGTTGAGGATGAAGATGAGAATCACAAGAGCTTCTTCTAAGAAATCAACAAGGGATGTTGTTGTTTCAGAGAAGAAGAAGAAGAAGGCTCTCAAATTCAAGTTTTTTCCAACAAAGGCTCCACAGTTTAAGACTTCTCTGAGTAAATTCCTGAAGATGAAGATTATGCCTATGAAACCCTTCACAGGTTCCAGTTTAGTATCTGTTCAGTGACGTTGCTGCTGAGTTTTGACCATATCTCTGTTTACTTTAGTATATGTAGTAATGTAGATCAAAGTACAATTGTATCTCGAATTTGATGTATATTTTTACGTTTTTGGTATTATACGTGCTCATGTTATCTCAAAACAGAGTTGTTTATCAATTTTGCCACTAGATAACCAGTGTTTCAGTTTCTTTACATTTTTTGCTCTCGTTTGTCAATTTTGGTAATGTCAATTTTGGCTCCCAAATAATGGTCTCATATTAGGCTTACAGGTAAAGAAAAAACGAGCTTGAACAAGAAGAATAAAGGAGATGCAGCTTGAAAGATACAAGTATCTGGTTATAAAAAAATTGATGTTTTTAGGGTATACATTTGCCTATATAAATGGATTATGAAACTCAAACGTAACAAAAAAGAATCAACTAATGTACAGTATTGGAGGGAAGAAGAAAGAATGAAAAGACTTTAAAACCTTGAGAAAAAGTTTTTGTCATTTGTTCAATCTTTTTTTCAGACCCACCAATCAGGGACTTTCAACCTCCGGTTTCTATGTACAGCGAGCTTAACATCTGGGATCTTATGTTTCACCTGTCTCCACAACATGTTCACCGCGTCTTCTCTCTTGGGAGGGAACTGGAACTCGAAGTGATGAGATACGTTCTTCAGATGTTCCCACATCGTCAGCCATTTCTCCTTGGGAAACTGGCGTAGGCTGTTGAGGATGAAGCCTGGTTCAAGCGCCTCTTTTACAGAGAAAAAGAGTGAGAACTCTGAGTAGTCTATTTCGTCTTCAAAAGGAAGCTCGATTTTGTCGCTTATGATTACTGGAATGCAGTGACTGACAATGGCATCAAATAGGCGGCATGAAGATGGAGTGTCTCCTGCTGGATGAAGACAGAATTTCGATGATCTCATCCCTTCCGTTGACTGATGTCAAGAAACAAAACACAAGCAGAAGATTTACTATCATTGTGATAAGTTCAACATCATCAAATATCTTCCTCTCTAACAGCTTACAAGATGAAAGAGCAAAAAACACAAGCCGAATAGGTCCTAAGAACACTTGAACACCTAAACACATGAAGCACTATCCTTTTTATACTCATTGATGCTGTATGGTTGATCAATCCTATCGCACTAGTCTTTCTAGAAATTTAAGACTGAAAATGTTGGGTTTTTGCAGTTTCTTGTTTTAGGATTTCAACTCTACGGAAGCTCTCTCTATCAGGAGTTAACCCATATGAAACCTTGCCCTTGTGTAACATTTTTGATGTGAGAGGGATAGGTTATATATAAAGAAGAGCTTACCACTTTGATGTTTTGTGTTGTTGCTACGCTTTTCTCGTAGTGAACATCAGAGTTACCAGCAAGTAACTTTTCCAACCGGAGACGGATTTTACCTTCAGCTTTCCTGACCGTGTTCCCACGGAAGTAGAGAAGCGTGGTGCGAGAGTCAAAGGGATCCAGAGTATCAACACCATCCTCTGTGAAGGACTCAACGACGTGTACGTAAGGTGAAACCACGTCTTTATCGAGACGTGCCATCTCTCTTGGGTAACGCCCAAAATCAACAACGATGAGGATCGATGCGTTCACTTGTTCCCTGGAGAATCTGAAAGCGTTAGGATGTGTCATCGGAATCACATGGTCTCTTCCACCTGAACGTTGCCAATACTTGGAGTTCTCAAGGTATTCCATTAACTCAACCTGAAACAACAATGCAAAATCAACAAATCAAAGACCTTTCGAATCCAATTCTTGATAGATGAACATTTTCCAATTCCTGTGACGAGTAGAATCAAATACGGAAACAAACTGTGCAAATTCGCTGATCTCTCTACGTTACGTGAATTGATTTCACTGAATTGTGCAAATAATTACGGATTCTTCAGTTTCTAATTCGATTCCCAAACACTAAAAATGGTCTAAACAGCATTTCATAAGAGTAAAATTTCTGCAAATTGTCAACGAATTTGACCTCAGACCATCCATAAATCCCCAGAAAATGATTAGGAATTCCGAATTCCCGATCGAATTTCACCTGTAATTGCCGGTCAATTTCAGTATCTGGATCCGTCATGTTCTTCCCGTGCGTATTGAAGCTCAGCGAGGAGAAGAATGGCACGTAGAACGCATCGGCCAATTCCGGATCAAAAACCCTAAACGCCTCTTTCTCTTCCTCTCCTCCGTGGAGGAGCGAGGCCATGAGCCAATACTCAACGCTGTGCTGTCTCTTGATCCCGGAAGTCTGAGGCCAGGGAGGGAGATTCTTGCCGGTGAGAGGCTCAACGTCTGAGCTCAGAGGATCCATCATCGCCACATTAAACTTCCGAGGGAGATCGTACATGAAGACACGGAGAGGACGTCCGGTGGTGCTACAGGGAGAGGCACCACGTGGCGGCGACTGAAGCTGAGAGAAGTAAGGTCTTGGATCGACGGTTCCCATGTAGATTGAGTAGGAAGCAATGAGGAAGACGAAGAAGACGATGATGCATATGGTTTTGCCGTACATTTCTTGTTCGTCTGCAAGACAGAGAGATTATTTGATGAGATTTGGATCCAACGGTCTCTCTCCCTTTCTGTTTGTTGCTTGCTTGCAACGAGTTTTTTTATGCAACGTGTTGAGTCATACATAAGACGATAAACAAAGTGATTCTTTCACTCATAAAAAAAAAATCCAGTCATTAATAAGTTTTTAAGTAGAGTATATAATCCCGTTTTTAATTTGAAAGTTTATAAATTGGGAAATTGTAAGGTGTACAAACTAAAAAGAAAGCAAATTTATACTCACTCCGTTACATAAAGAGTGTCGTTTTAAAGTTTTGTTTTTGTTTCACAAAGAGTGTCGTTTTAGGTTTCCAAAATGTAAATTTATAACAAAATATCTAGTTTTAACCTTGTTACTTTAGTATATTAATTAGAAAGAGAGAGTTATTTAGTGTATTTATTAGGGATAGAAAAAGCTTTTTGTTAACTTTCTTAATTTGTGTGAAAAGTGTCAAAGTGACACTTATTTTGAAACAAAGAGAGTATTTGTTAGTACATATTTTATTTTAAAAAATCATTTTTTTGAATTCTAAAAAACTATCATTTGGTTAAATGTTAATATATATTAAGTATATAACTTGCGGTACGCGCGAGTCTTTATTAATATTTTGGTTTATATTTTTTTGCTACTATCTTTAAAATTATTAAAAATTATATATATTTATAGAAATTTTCATTTATATAAGAGAATTTAATATATAATGTGTAATTTATCCTATTTTATTTATAAATTTTAAAAAATTATTATGTAAAATAATAACTATGACACATATTGAATTATCCAATTTTGACGTACATATATATTTGATTTAGAGAAATATAATCTTGCTAAGATTTTGATATTATTTTCTGTTTTCCAAAGAATTTATATAGTTCTTTTTTTCTTGAAAGTTTATGTGTTCAAATATTTAGTTTTTTATTGAAAGTCTTATTAATGTTGTGTAACACTGTATATATAATCCATAATTCATGTTGATTCATATTTAATTTTGTTAGAAGCTGTAATGATCATGCAAAACCATTTTTTTCTTCTCCATCATGTCTTCTAAGAGTTTTATGTTATATTTTTATTCAGTTTTTATTGTTTTAATTGTTAAATCGAGCTGTTGTAGATTTTTTAAAATTGATAATTGATAATGATTACTTTTTTATATACATGTATAAATAATTGTTAATTTTTTATTTAAATTTAAAATTTTTAAACCATATTAACATTTTTAATTTAATAAATATGTTGATTTGGATCAATCAGATTGAATTTACTTTTTGTTTGTTGGACATAATTTGTTAAATTAACTTTTAATGTTTTAATTATACTTAATAATTTTTGGTTTGATTTAAAAGCTGATATGGACCAATTAAATCAAGTTTTTCCGTCCTAATCATACTTAACATTTTTTTATTTAATGAATATGTTGATGTGGACCAATGAGATCGAGTTTTTTAATCTCATGTGGACGCCCTCAATGCACTATGCTATCAACTTTTATATATTATACTATGTTTATAACTCGTGTTACGCGCGAGTCTGTATAAATAGTTTAGTTTAGTGTTTTTTAAGGTACTATCTTTTAAATTATCAAAACTATAATAGATTTATAAAAAATTTCTTTTCTATAAAATAATTTAGAATATAATGTGTATTTTTCTCATATTTTTATTTATACAATTTTAAATCTCCTATTACAATTTTTTTTTTAAAGTTTATGTGTTTAAATATTTAATTTTTTTATTGAATGTCTTATTGATGTTGTGTACATATGCATATGAAATTCATGATTCATCTTACCAAAAAAAAAAAAAAAATTCATGATTCATGTTGATTCGCATTTAGTTTTGTTAGGAAGTTGCAATGATCATGCAAAGTCGTTTCTTCCTTTTTCACCAGGTCATCCATGAGTTTTGGCTTAGATCTTTATTCAATTTTTATTGAGATCTATTTTTTCTGTAGCCTAATATTTGATAATTTTAGTTTTTTATACTTGTAGGATCGGTGGTGTGGAGTCTTCGCATTATTTTTTATTATTTTTATCTTTTGTGTGCAATCTGCATGCTTTGATTTAAAATTTTTATCTACAAATACTAATTTGATTTTGATTCATAACTCTCTCATACTTTATTATTTACATAGAATTTTAGAATGGGTTACTCATATGTTATTATTGTTGGTTCATATATAAGTTGTGACTATGCATAAAAATCAGATTTTACGATATGTTAAATTTTGAATGTAAGGTTATTTATATTGTGTTTTTCTTTGTTAGTTTTTAAAATCAAAAATACTCAGTATTAATCATTGTATATTTTACTCATGTAAACCTACTGCAACCTTAGTTGATATTAATACTTTATAAATTATGAATTTTTTGAAACTAATTTCAAATTAATATTGTTACAATTTTTTTAATATATTTTACATCTTTTGATTGTAATTTTATATTTTATCTTAATTTATACAATTTTTTTTGTATGTTTGATATACTTGAGACTTATATTTGTTTTTATTAAGCTTTTTTGTTGGTGATTAACAAAATAGGTAACATAGACTTCAAGTTAATTTTCTTAATATGAATGTTTTTTTTTGTTAAATTTATTTTTTATATCAATTTTAAGTTCTTTTATATTGATATTTAAAAATGTTAGCCCAAATATCAATTTAGTGATTTATAACATGTTGAAAGCTACAAAAACATAGATATTTATAAAAATGTTATAAAAAGATTATAAAATGCTATAATTATGTTATAAAAATGTTATAAATGTTTATGCTTTTTATAACATTTATCAAAAAAAATTGAAACATAAATTTATAACTTGTTGAAAGCTAAATTTTTTCTTATAAAAATATGTTTAATTTCTCATCATATCATAATAGTTTTAAAATAGTTTAGTTTGATATCTAAAAGGTTCACAATAGAGAATTAAAGTATGGCGAGGTATTGCATGTGAATGTACTTACCATGTCAAATAGTCAGTAGTTGCTTCAATATTTTTGTCAAAAAAACATAAACATAAACATAAATATTTATAAATTTTTAAAATGTTATAATTTATATTTCAAAAGTTATAACTTTTCTTTTAACATGATAAATTATATTTTTATTTTTATATCATCCAAAACCATTTCTTCGAATTTGGTATGAATATATATATATATATATATATATATAATTTTTATGCAAATATTTGCCTGGATAATATATAAAATTATAGCATGAATAAATAATTTGTCATTGTATACTATCAATCGACTTACTACTGGGATAAAATAATGTAAATAATGCTATCTTCAAAATGGCAAACTATTATTAGAAACTTGTAAGACTTCTTTATAGTTTCCATAGACTTTTAGTCACCTACTACAATATTATTCTTCCTCCGTCTCTCCATACTCCCATGGTCTCCATAGGCACTCCTTAATTTTTAATTAATTTTGTTTTTATTGTTTTTTTAAGCTTTACATCTTTTGATAGTAATGTTATATTTTATTTTAATTTATAAAACATTTTTGTATACTTGATATACTTATGATTTATTTTTTTTATTTTATTAAGCTCTTTTATTTTTGATTTTTAAAATATGTAGCATGGAAATCAAGTTAATTTCTTTTATATGAATGCTTTTTTTTGTTAAATTTAATTTTCTATTAATTTTCAAGTTAATTTCTTTCTTTTAGATATTAAATTAATTTTATTTTATGTTATTGATTTTTGTTTTGTTAGTTTAACTCTTTTGACATTAAATTTCTATTTAAATTTGAGATATACTATATTTTAGTTTTTTTAACATAATTTTTTTTTCTATTTGTTACTTAAGCTTTTTATTATGATTTTTCCATCTATGAAACGAATTTTTTTTTTGTCAATTAATTTATAAGTTAGAAATTTCCTTAATCTATATTATAAGTTTTAGCTTTTACGTTATTTTTGTTATTTTAGAATAACTCTCTTGACATTAAATTTTTATTTAATTTTGAAAGATATTATATTTTGGTTTTTTTTTAACATTAATTTCTTTTCTATTTGTTACTTAAGTTTTTTTTTATTTTGATTTTTTCATATATAAAACGAAATTAATTTTTTTATAAATAGAAATTAACTTTTAATGTTTTAATCAAATTTAACATTTTTGTGTTTAATGAAAACGCTGATGTGGACCAATCATATTGAGTTTCTTCATCTTAATAATACTTAACATTTTGTGTTTATTGAAAAACGATGATGTGGACCAATCAAATTAATTTTTTTCGTCCTATGTGGACGTCTTCAATGCATTATGCCATCAACTTTTATATATTATATGATGATTACATTTTCTGTCATTAAATTTAAGTTTTTCTTTTTTTTTTGTCCACAGCCTCAAAAAACTAGAATGGTTATAAAAGTTAAAAATTCATTCAAAGTATTTTTCGGGTTCGATTTTGTTCTTTTTTCTACTTTAAACTTGTATCCATAGATATGTCCAAATTACCAGAGTTGACTCATTATATTATTTTCTAAATTCGGTATATTAAGAAGAAATTCATATAATTATTGTTTGGTAACAAGTTTTTAATAAAACCGATCTTAATTAAAACCCGACCTGATAAGTGATATCCAGTTAATAAATTCTTTCCGGTATGAGAAAACCGTGGGAATTTTTTCTTTCCTGTCTAAAACAATTCAATTCGTTGCAAAACAATTTAAGCAATATAATGATCAATGCCGTCTTATGCATATCGTAAACTGAAATCTGAATCAATATAAGTAGTTTGTGAATTTATGTTTGAAATCTACTTAAGCAACTACAACTTATATTATAACTTACATGTCACGAAATTATTTGAACGTTACAATCTACTTAAGTAATTATAAAAACCAACACCATTGATAATGAATTGCACCGATGAAAATCTACTTAAGTAATTATAAAAACCAACACCATTGATAATGAATTGCACCGATGAAAATCTACTTAAGCAGTTTGTGACCAATGGAATTTCGGTTAAAGACTTCTACTAACTCATTTGGTTTACCATTATCTTGGTTATAAACAAAACCATTCACAATTTGTTAAAAATCCAAT